AGACTACTCAGGCTCAGAGAACACGATGGGATTTACGTAACAAGCCAGAGGGAAGAAAAGAGCTCCTGAGGCCAGAAATGGTCTCTACCTCACCCAAAGCAGTGTCCAGTGTTTTCAGGTCCTAACAAAAGTCCTCTTCTTGCCACTGAGGACTTGATGCTCCTTTGCCAGACCACAGGCCACATGCCAGGTCCCAACTCACCAAGACACGACAGGAGCGGCCCCTGGAGCTGCCAAGGCCCCAGCCCACTCCCAGACAAGCGACGCTAAAACAGCAGCTGCGGCGGCCGAACGCCCAGACAAGCCCCCACGCTTGGCCATGAGGCGCCTGCCCCAGGCCTGCGCCTTCGCTGCCCGCGGTAACAGCAGCACAACCAGGACCAGGGCTACTTGCAAAGCCTTCCAACTTCTCTCTGAGGCTGGCTGCTCTACAACAGCCTTCTGAATCCGAAACACTGCACATCACTGCACACGGAATCTGAAATACTGAGTCCTCACGCGCTGAATCGGACACCGAACCGTCCGGAGCACAGAATACCCTCAAAGGCGGGATCCAAACTCCGAATCCCGAAGATTCAATCCAGAACGCTGAATACACAGATGCTGATTCTGGACAAAGCTAAAAGCTAAATCTGGAACACTGAACCCCGAAGACTGGATGATCTGTCGCTCCTTCTGCAGTGCTGATTTCTTAGCAGTCTCTGCACCCCAAACTGTGAGGCTTGTCAGCATTCCCCCTGGGGCTGTCCTCACCAGCAGCCCCTCCAGGAGGCACCAGCCGCCAAGTCTTGGGCTCCAGCCCTCCCCCCCACCCCCCACCTTTCCACTTCAGAAAAGTAGGTGTAATGGAGAGGATGCACCCAGCCTCATGGTGAGGGGTGAGGTGGGCAGAGCTGTGCAAACGGAAGTTGCTTCTCAGGGGTGCAGGCAAACAGCCCGCGTCAGCCCGGGAAGACAGCTGCCGTGCTCACAGGCCTCCGGTGAGCCTTGAACCACCCTCTCAGTCCACCCGAAATAGACGGGGCCCCTCTCCTAGATAGCCCGCCCGGGGTGACACTGCAGGTGATGGGGCTGTGCTCAGAAAGAGGGGGCTGCTCCCCCTGCAGCAGCCCTCCCGGAGGCAGCCCCCCGGCGCTGAACCTGTGCACCCCTCCAAACGGACTGGGGTAAATTGAAATTCACAAAGGCGGTGTGTCCAGGAGCTAGTGTGGCGACGAGGACAAGAGTAGAGGTCCTCTTCCTGTTGGCCAGGATTGGTTAGGTGACCTCAGGGGCCATCATGGCCAAGTCCTGAGGGCCTCGGGCACCGCCCCCCGCTCCAGATGGGACCAGCGCGTGAACCTGCGGGGACC